ATATAAATAATATATTTAAATGTTTTTATTGCAATTGCTTTTATTTCATTTGCTGCACAGTGTGTGTGTGTGTGTGTGTGTCAGTGTGTATGTGTGTTTGGCAAATATTTGGTTACAGTACGTTTGAGTACGAGCCAAAAAACTCGAACAACTATTTACAACTCCGCTTGAGTGTAAGTTTCAAACTCGACTGAAGCATTGAGCGCAGTGTGTGCGGCTTTTATGCGCTGCCGTCCACTCAAAAGGACAACTGAGCCGAGTGACTGAGCTCAGCGCCTACGTAAATTTCATTCGGAGTGAATCGTTAGTGAGCTCGTGCTCTGAGCCATACTCAATGCGCTCTTTCTTTCACTCTTGTTCTCTTGTTGCTTTCGGCGAGAGGTGTGAAAGGTCTTGCTCGTGAGTTTATATTACAACAAGTTGCTGAAAGTTTCTGGTATTTATGGGCATATACTATTTAAGGGTACTGTTAATGAACAATTTTAATAAATTATAAGATAAAGAATAGAAATATTTATATGTTTCAATAATACTTAATGAGCAGTAAATAAATGAAATGACCTAATGGCAAATATTTGTCTGCTATTACTGGTAATATATTTCCATAGTTGAATTGTTGATCAAAAATTATCAACCATCTATAATAGCAATGAAATAATAATAAATTTTTAAATTGTCATATATATAATTATCATATTTCTTACCGTGTAAAATTAACCTATTTAATTTGTAGTACTTAGTTGGACATTTTTTCAAGCATTTTTTTATAGTATATGCATATAAATATAAAATATATGTGTATATACATATATATGCGTAAGCATATAACCTTTTATTTTCACTTTCAATATATATACAGAAATATACATAGTAATACAAAAAAGCCTTGACCTGAACTAAATCTGTGTATCCAAGCAAAACTATATAAAATATTCAATTAAATTCTGGCAGCAGCTGAGCTTGGCATATTAATTACTATTAGCCAGCATCTGTGTGTGCAGAAACGCAAAGCTCAAGGTTAAGAGTCTGTTCAGTTTTAATGGAGCCAGAGAAATGTCCTTCGCATGCATGTCAGGGCCCAATCATCAATGTACTTAACTTTAACATACGCAACGACTAAATATGCTTTTAATTAAAGCAACAAATATTAATTAGGCCCAGAGGCTTAGGGCTTGGTGTGCGCTTACACTTCCTGGCGAACAAAAACACATGCTAAAATAAATAAATATATCCCAATGCTATCTTACAATATCCTCCAGCAGCTTAGCACAGTTCGCTGAGTGGAAAATTCAACGCGAAATGACTCATTGCCGGCTGCGACCCGCCCCGCCCCTTTTGCTGCCCACGCAAACCTATTCCCACTCAGCTGGCTGAGACAGATGCCCAATAAATTGCCAGCCGGGTACCGCAAATGAGCGCCCACGGCTTCAAGGGTAGCGCTGATTCGCTCCGCTGAAAAAGCTCGAGCGGCATGCGGGGGCCGGACGACAGCTTGGCTAAATCCCACTCAACTCTGAGTGGTAATGGACTGAGCAGAAGAGCAAAGAGCCAAAGAGCCAAAGTGCCAAAAAGAGAGCCTGAACGTTTCCTCGTTTTGGTCTTGGTCTTGTCCCTAGCAGTTTAAGCGGCAATATTCTTAAGGGTTCTGCAGGGAGCCATCGAATACTTGAGCGAATATTCTGTCTTCTTGTAAATAGCTACAAATTTTACATACGTTTTTTTACTTTCAATAAAAAATATTAAATCTGATGTGAGCTGTAAGCAGATAATTAGAGTTTAAGTTTGAGAATTTTCTTGCATTTGTCATCCTCGTCAAAGAATAAATCTTGGCATAATTTTGTAAGCCGGCAAAGCTTTTATTATTAAGCTTTTATTCACTTTTATTTGGTCACCCAAAAGTATACTATAATATTTAAGAGCTATATAATTATGAAAAAGCTATATAATATGTATATACTATATATATAACCTATCAAATATATGAGGTTTAATCCTACCAAATTTGAGCGAATCTCTTAGTTTATATAAAAATGGTCAGAAAATGGCCAAAATATGATCGGTTAGTCAAATTGTCAAACCCAATTCTTTGAGAAGAGCCCCACTTCATAACAAACATTTTAACTTTTTTCTTTATTAATTATTAATT